ATATCTATATATATATTTATATACTAAAAAAAATTATGTGATACTTTCATTGATATATATATGAAAGCTGCTTTCTAAAGCTGAACATTGAAGTCCAACTGAAGTGACTGTAGGTAAGGGTCAAAGCCCAGAGGGGTCCAGAACTCACCACCTCAGCACTGGAAACGTGGAGCAGATTTGGGGGGTGATAGCTGGAAGATAGGGCCTGAGACTCCAGGGTGCTGGAATCCTGCAGCTGCTGAACAGTGGAGAACTGGGACTGATTGTAGCTTGATTCAGTGATGGTGAAGCCTGAAGGGAGCCAACAGAGAATCATCACTCTCTCCACTTACTGATCATATTTAAAAAGGTACTGGCACTGGTTGATTGCAATATTAGCATGGAATCAAAATAATAAACTGGCTATTTAATTTTAAACGGAATAATCAGTCTACAGTGTTTGGCTAATTCACTGTGCAATTACATATTTAGGAAGTGCCCTGGTTCCCTCGACAAAAAGCCAGTGGGATTTTTCTGTTGAGTGTTGGATTATTGCAGAATATAAGCTCTATTGTGAACAAAAGTTTATAATAGTTACTATATACTAGACTATAATACACGTTTTGTTTATCAGGATATTCTTCAAAAATAACTACTACTTTTATGATTTTTCAAGCGTAAATGCAATCGCCACAAGTAAAAAGTTAACATTAGGCTACAAACAAACTGCACCACGTTTGCACGACTCTGTCACCACCACTAAGCTGGCGTAGTGACGTTTAATGTCACAACATGTTAACAACCTTTGCAGTCTCATTTAGCATCCACCTTTTTAAACCACATAAAAACTTTAAAATTCATGAGTTGGGATATTTACTGATGTATTTTTTGTTCTGGCCAGGGGGATCTCTTAAGCCTATGTTAATCACAGATATCATTTAAGCCGGCATCTAACCAAAAGCCAATTCAAAAAACCCATTGACTTTGAGACGAGAGAGCCAGAAGTGCAAAAATGCTAACTCATTCCTGCAGTACTCTATATAGATACTATAATGCAGGTTTGCAAGCAGTGGAAGAATTTAAAATAAAAACACAGACCAAAAGTAAACCTGAAGAAGCAGATACCTGATGTCCCAGCATTTAACAGTGAAAATGGATATTCAACTCAGCACAAATGCAGTTGATAAGCAAATAAAGTACAAACCTTTCTCTCAGCAAAAATAATCATTAGGAACTATCAAATTTAGGTGCACGTTTGTGTTTATATAAATTCTGCACAACACAGCAAAATAACAGGCAGAAACTTGGCCTGCCAGCAAAATGGATGGCTTTCATTGATTTTAAATTACTGAACTTTGAGCTCAGTACCATCATTTATTGACACCGTTGACTGCTGACACTACTTATTAACCACCGTAGGGATTACAGCCTGCAGTGGAAATATGATGTACAACCTTGAGTCTGTTATTGAAAGAAATGTGTGCATAAAGGGGGAAAAAAAACTAAATAAGACATTTTTGTCACCAAAATATCTACAAAAGTGCTGATATATCGTTGATCAATAGACTATACAGCATAAGTATTACTGCAACCTAACATTGTGCTCATCAAAAAATATATAAATACATTGTTTGCTGATGTTATTGCTAAAAGCAGGTAGGGCAGATGCTACATGTGACAGTAGCTAGTTATTGGATCAAGTATGAACAAAAGGTTGTATGTTGGGATAACAGCATCACTACCGATGATAAGAACAGGACTACAAGCTTCTACAATTGTTGACTCGGTTTTGGAGAGAACCATATGGGGAGTTCAAACCATGATTCAGTTTGAAGGTCATGCTTTTAAGTGTCTGTACAACGTTTGGGATGTCACGGCACTTGTTTCTTGAGGTATATGTTGTGTTTTTTGTGTTATTTGCCTTTGTTAATATTATAAAGTTTTATTTCATATCTCTCGTGTGTTTTTATCACTTATGTTCTGCTTTTTATTTATTATTTGATTGATTGTATTAATATATTGTTTGGGTATTGCAATTTTCTTTATTTAGTGGCTAGTTGGGCTCCTGAGCTACATTAATGTTCTCTTGGAATATGTGTGTGTTAGTACTGTGGCATGTAGCTGTTTGACTGTATCGGTTATTTGTTACTGTGCATGGGTAGCCAAATGCCTAGTTCACCCCCTGGGGATTAATAAAGTTATTACATAACATGCAATTACAATTCAGTTCACTTTTATCCAAAACAATGAGAGCATTCAGACCATGTGCATTTAAATAAATGATCTATCTAGTGGCTTGAGAATACTAAAAGTATCCTTTGAAATTCTGTGTTTTAATACTAAATTTCAATTCAGTCTTTTAACTGAAATTTATAAATGAGAAATTCAAAACATATGATTTCAAATTTGGTTCTTTCATTTTCTTTCAAAATTGTGGCCACATCTGATTATTTTGGAAACAAAAGTAAACACTCCATAACCCACAAAGGGAAACAGTCCAAAGCTCCTTTTTGTGATTTCTTAACCATGTATAATGTTAGCAGAGTGGCAGTCTGGGTGCTCATTATTCATACGTTCTGTGGCAGTTGAAGAGACACTCATTTTGCTGCAGTCCCAGTACGTGAACCTCAAAGAAAGAACAGCACGTGCACCTCTGAAAGTGGAGCTGCACCAATTTACCAAATAAGACCAAAAAATAAGTGGGATGACTGTTGTGAACACAGTATGTCACAAATAACAAAACAATACAAGGTTTCCCACATGAAAGCCGAGACATCAGTGTCACAGCTTATATCCCTAACAACTATATAATAATACTTTAAACATGACAGTTGAATACTAGGGGTTAAAATATGATTGGCTGCTCAGGAGTCATCCTGCCCAGGCACATGAAAATTTGATGACACCCGAGGCCATATGGTCCTAAAATGATGAAATTCCAGGTCTGTTCTGGACAGATAAATAGGTTATAGTGCCTCCTGAGGGAACAGAAAAGGTGGATCTGCCTGACAGATGTTTGCTGTCAGTTTGCAATGCTGCCCAAAATCCACTATTCTGATTCCACAGGATCCAGGCTGCCAACAACAGTCAGTTGGCATGATGGGAACTTGGAGGAGCAAAGTAGCAAGCATATGTTAGCACTATAGTGGATTAAGAGTTATACAATGGAGTGGGAAGAATGGAGACACGAGACACTTGGTACATGTAATATGACCAAATTAACTGTTCTGGTAGTTGTGGGAATTGTAGTGATTCTGGCTTTTCTCCCACAACCAACAACTGCTGTCTCTTCTGACAGCCTAGTAAGCTGAAAGAAAGTTTATTCCATCACTAATGTTTTAGTTTGATTGATTTATTTTTAATGATAATCTAAAGTGAGGGATTTCATTACTAATGAGGTTTCTTGAAGCCAACATTTGCTCACTGCACAATCAATAAACTTTTACAGCAGAAAACCCTGCAGGAGTAATTACTGGCATGATAAAGTGACTCGCTACAGCTCATTATCTATCACTTTTCAATAAGAAAACATATGTTTGGCACTATACCAATACTTTCTACTTCTTTGTCTAGTATAAACACACACACAGACGTGTACTTTCATGCACTATGAACACAATAGTTTCAAAATTGTTTCTGTGAAAAAATCCAGAATGAAAAAGCCTGCATGAGTGAAATGGGTGAGACATAAAGTGTTTGTGTTTGTACCTTGGGTTAGAGCTTGTTGGTCAAAAGCGGGCTGAGGGAGTGTTGGTGTCTCATACTGGCTGATATTCTGAGGCAAAGCATGTTGGGTAGTCACGTATGAGTCTGTCACCACAGAGAAAGAGATGCACAGCGATACAACGGGTCAGTCTGGCACTCACAAAAACAAAAACTGTTAGAAAAGGCATTTTCATTGTTCTGCATCTAGTAAAAGTTAAAAAGGTAATATGTACTCAACGTGTACGTAAACAGCAGATTACTTTAAACACATTACAAACTACTCTTGTCCTGATGTTATCACTGGGTCCATTGTTGGTGTGTTTGCCCACTGCACTTCTGCAGGTCACTTATCAATACAAATTGTCTCGCTATCACTTGAGAAATAATTGCCTATATGAAACTGTACAAACTGTGCAGAGAAGAGGTTCATAATAACAACAACAACTTTATTGTGAAAACTAAGAGAGAAAATAGGGATTATTAGGCTCATTAGATTCAGAGCAGCAAGTGTCACTTTTGGGAATGATAAGAAAATACTACACTTTATGGACCGGTCTCCTCCTTTACATTTTAACACTGTACATCCTTTGTATGCAAGTTAAATTCCAGTCTATACACTATTAAAATGTCATGAAATATAGATAGCTGAGGTGAAGAGTACTGAACCTGACCACAATTGATGCATTTTAAAACTGAGGTAGGTTGGTGTTGAAAGCCAATTCAAAACTAACCACAAACAGTTCATTATGAAAAACATCTGCTTGGTTCTGAAGGACAGTGTGATGACCTCTATTTCCAGAGACCAGGTTCTGGTCTTTGTAGATGGATTGCTGAAGCTGGAGGTAGTGTACTTTGCCATATTTGAAGTACAAGGGGGCTTGTATACTGAACAAACAGAAGTTGATCAGCAGGACACTTTTTGATCTTTTTGTACTTTAAGAATTTCTTCCAACTTCAGTGAGATATATCATCTCTTTGTTGTCAATTTGCATGTCTTTGTGTGTGTTTTATGTCTATTTGTAGTCATGTTGTGTCTCTTTGCGGTTGTTTTGCATCCCTTTGACTTGATTGACTTTCCAACAAATAACATTACAGTCACTTGATACACACGCGCTGGCCCTGTACCCAGTAAGCTTGCATCCATGATGTGCCACCCCTGGCCACCACTCTGGCTCCACCCCTGCTTACCTTCACCTTGAACAAGGGGTTGGTCAGTCAGTGGTGCCTCCAACGTCACTTGTTGACCTCCATTCACAACTTCTGTCTGGCCCAGTCCCAGCATGCTTTGTTGGTCTGCTGAGGTAGCAGACGGTTGCTGGAGGGAATCCCCTTCTATTTCCACCTGAATATCATGGGCCACAGTGCTCCCTCCTAAGTGGTCTTCTGTTGACTGGGGCTGCAGCTGCTGGGCCAGTTCATATCTGGTTTGGCAAAAGAAGGAAGGCAGAACCTTAGATTTAAAATAATGATTGATGCATTTGCTTTTTTAATATATTTTATATATAATATTTTTTTCTGACCTTCTGGTTTGTATACAACTACTTTGTCACTGCATATCTGATGCTCCAAAGTACGTGCAAAAAGCATAAAAACAACAAACGCAACCACAAACAAACACAGTAACAAAGCCCAAACCTGTGTGTTTTCATGTGCTTCCTGCAGTTGGGTGATGACTTAAAGGTCTTCTGGCAGTAAGGGCACATGTAAGGTCGCAGGTCGCTGTGGGTGGTCATGTGGCGTCGCAGGCTGCCACTGGTGGTGAACGTGGTGTCGCACATCAGGCACTTGTATGCCTTTAGGCCTGAGTGGGTCCTGATGTGAGCCTTGAGGACTCCTGAGGAGGCGAAACCCCGACTGCACTGCACACACTTGAAGGGCCTTTCTCCTGTGTGAGACCTGGGTTGATAAAAGGGGTGGGAAAACTAAACTAGTTAGGCATAAAACTATAGATTCAGTATATTGTTTTAGGTAGGACACACAGTATACAGCAGTAGCATGTCATACAAATAATGTATTGTAAAATATGAGGTTTTGAGTAATGCTGATATTTTAACTTGAAGTAATTTATATTTATAAATGTGGTAATATTTATACTGAAAACCCAACATCTTCAGGACAAGGTTTATATCTAGGCATGGTTTGGTGTATTTGTTTTTATTTATTATATTAAATATACATTATTACCTGGTCCATTTGAATCAAATCCCCTGGCATTAAAAAGAAAAAAAAAATATGTTGCGGTTCTGTTCATCAGTGAATCAAGGGAACTGTCACTAGTGGCAGATATGGATCCTCTGTTTGAGCTACAACCCATTACTATAAACCTCCCAATAAAGAAGACGAATAAAGAGGCGCGACTATCTAAAGGCACTGCAAGGATGACAGCGCTATTATTTAGATAAAGCTCTCAATATTGAAATGAAGACGAATGCTGGGAGTCTGTTATATTGCAAAGGCTCAAAAGTTCAACGAAGATACATAGATCAGACCTGCTAAGTGCTAAGTGCTACTTATCATTCTTAGTGCTGTTTCAATGTCCTATTTTATGCATGACTGACTAAGTTGAAGTCCTTGTACTCGTTAGTCATGTCAGGTTTTAAAACAAGCCAGTGATATAAAGGTATATATATCGAAAGGAACTATTAGGTTTCCAATAATGAAGAAGTCATTACTTGCAGAGTGAATAGTCTCACTTTTTGGATCAATGTGATGTATATGAGAAAAAAATTATCAGCAGATTAATCAAAAACTTTTTTTTGGGAAACTTTCACATTATGTACTTGACATGCAGTGTTATGACGAAGCTTTACCTGACATGCTGTTTCAGATGGCTTGATTTCTTGTAGGCCTTACTACAGAACTGGCACTTGTACGGCCGGTCGTTGCCCATCACCTCCAGGTATTGTTGGAAAGCCAAACGAGGGTTCTGGGATGGGATGAGGCCTGTTAAGCAATATGTGAACAAGCAACATGTGGACTTCCATGTGAAAAGACAATTCATTTTGTGCAGAAAACACACAGCAGCAACGGGACAATGCAATCCACTTAATCCCAACGATCAGTGAAAGAGTGTGTGTATGTTTGCAATCGTGAACACAGACGCAACACCATCCCCCATGTGTATACGCATGTGCCTGTCTACACGTGCTCTTACCAAAGTCAGTGATGAGGATGGGTTCCTGCAGGGGGATATCAGGCAGAGGTAGGTTACTCTTGGACACTTTGGCTTTGTTGGTTTTTCGGGGAAACTTGTGCTTCTTCTGCTGTAAGCTTTTGAAGTGAGAAGCAATGTGTGTTTTCCTGTGGCCTGATGTACGAAAGATCTTGTCACAGTGAGGGCAGGGGAAAGGACGGACACCTAGGAAAAACGGGGAAAAAATAGCGCTTTTGGAGAATTAATATTTAGAGAATTACACTGATTCTGACATATGTACTTTAATACAAAAATCAAAAGAATCTTAAAAAATAAGCTAGAAATAACATAAAAAACATATCAGAATGTACTGTCCCTAAGCCAATCTTTATAAATAATATGAAACTCACACATAAACCAAAAATGTAAGCAAGCTCATATAATTTTATTTAATTTTTGTCTACAAAAGGTTACAAAGCCTTTCAGTTAGCAGGAGACAGTATAGATTTCTATGAAACCACATTACAGCACAAGGAAAGAGACAAGGATGGAACTGTTCAGCACAAAGCCTCAGTGAGAAATACAGCTGAGAACATATTAATCAAAAGCCTTAGCTTAGAGCTAACACATAACCGGAACTAAAGTAGACACCTAACATAGACACTGCCATTACATAGCAATTAGAGAGACAAAATTATTGCACATAATGATTAAACTGTTACACAGTTTTGTTTACTTATACTAATGTTGACATTTTATGTCCAGGGGATGATTCTTTAAGGTAATGTCTCTAAGAAGCAAAAACATAATGATTGCAAACACATAGATGCAAATCAGGGCTCTAGCTGTAGCAGCACCACCACTATATTTATACAGGTCCAGCTTTTGTAATTTGCTGTATAATTTATTTAACATATAGCTGAATATTAAATGACAGAGGCTGCCAGGAAACTGAAAACATTACGATGAATGTTTATGTATGTCTCCTTTAATTTATGCACACAGTGTACTGTTTAACAGGTGTATGGTGTGACATGTGTAATAAGCCAATAAAGTGAAATAAGTGCACTCAAATGTTCATTTTACTTTGGCTTTAAATGTAACCGTTTCATGAAGTGCACCTGCTTCTCACCTGTATGCAGACGCATGTGTACTTTCATGCTGCCAGAAGTGGAGAAGCACTTCAGACAGCACTGACACTCAAAGGCCTTGATACCCGTGTGCGTTTTCATGTGTGCGGTGAGGGTACTCTTGACAGCAAAAGCTCTGAAGCACTGTTTGCACTTGAAAGGCTTCTCGTGGGTGTGGATGCGAATATGGCGAACAAGATCGCTGGGCTTCTTGAACTCCTTGGAGCAGTATGGGCAGCCATGCCAACGAACACCATTCTCCTCCCTGATGGAGCCTGGAAAGGAAGGCAGAGTGAAGCAGCCGTCCAGTGTTTCTGTCAGTCGACAGCTGCAACTGAAAGCTGTTTTCATTACAAATTAATTGGTCATTACAAATCATTAATCGTCCATTTTCGATGACATATTTTCTTATTAACTCTGAACAGCTGCCAGCATACATCATTTTATAATTAAATTGACACATATAAGATAAGCATGTATTTTTCAAGCTGCAAATATTTGATTTAATTAATTTAATCAGTTATTTTAATTATAATTGACGGAGTTTTTGTGATACTGCGTAATCCTTCTACCTGGCATTTGTATAGGTTTCTTGAAAATGCTCCTTTTCTTCTCCCTGGCTGGTTTGTCAGGGCCTTGTACTTTCTTGCTTTCTACAGCGGCGCCCTCAGTGGTCTGGTTCTGCGACTCCCTGGGTGTGGCGTCACCCTGCGGCTGAACCACACTCAGCCCGCTGTTCTCCAGAGCTTGCTACAGAAATAGAACAGAAAACTCCACTGCTCAAAAAGGCTTTCAACGCCAGGCAAATGTTACAGCAATGTAATCCTAAAAAAATATATACTACTACCTAATCATATAGGGAATTATAATTATTATATTTTCAACAATTTGAGGTATGGCTTGTAAAAAATGGAAAAATATTGACAAAAACTGGCCAAAAAAATGAAGCCGTGGTCCAAATCTCAGTGATAATCACATCGTTTTGTGTTGGAGACTGGAGGCTCTATTCAACTCTCCAGCAGTACTCATTTATAAATCCTACAGGTCCAAATTCATTATTATACTGTCTCCTTCTCCCTGGATGGATCATTCCACCGCTGTGGAAAATCCTGCCTTTCAGTCACCAAAGAAAGGCAACTTGACAGAGCATATCATTTGGGTTTAAACAAATATTATTTCAGGGACATTTTAGAGAGTTTATGGAAAACATTTCTTCTTTTCATCTCTTTAAATATATTCCTAATGTGGGCCCTCACATCTCCATCTAAATCATTTCCACATAAATGGTTCCACTAACATTTTGAGATCTAAACGGACAATTGCTCCCGCCTCTGTCCCTGATTGCTAGCCCCTCACACAGACAGAAAGACAAGGACAATTTTCCAAATGATGAGTTTTTGTCCATTCTCATATCTTACAGAGTGCATGTTACACTGAGGCTTGGAGCTAAAGCAGTGCGCTCCTTAAAGTCTTGCTTTAAGATTAATATCTGACTCATATGCTGCAGGTTAGGTCTGAGGCATGTGGTTCCAGTGAGCCTGTGGGAGCTTGAATACTACTGAGTTTTCTGATAATCTTATTCATTTAGTGACTAAATGTCATTTGCTCACTTGCAGGATGTCCTGGTTGATGGCAGTTTCCATGGTAATAGCTGGCTCTGGAGGTTGAGGCTGGGCTGTCTCACCGCTGACCTGTTCAGAGAGCTCTAAAAGTTGCTGGATGACATCTGTCACCCCCTCGCCGCCCTCTGATCCCCCAGGAGCCTGACCTGTCGTCTCTGTCTCCTATGGGAGAAGAAGAGAGGGAATGGACCGAGAAGGTGGGAAGAAAGAAGATGAGGACTGATGTGACAAAGGGCCATTCACAAGACCAGGACATGCTATCATTTGAAAGCTGACTAATTTTTATTAGGGGCTCTGTGGAGCATAAAATTAGCAGGGCATTGGGCATTAGTGAACAAAATGTTAATTAGTGTCTACATCTTTGTGAATCATTGACACTTTGACATATAAATATAGATGGTGGCTATGGTTACATATACAAGGTTGATGGTATGTGGATATGAGGCATGCAGCATTTTAACATCACTAAACTGCAACTAATTATTAGTAAGTAATCCCCTACTAATTACCAAATAATGTCAACAACGTATTCCCCTTTTTATAAACAAAGCCATCACTGAGAGGTTTGAAAGGCTCTATGCTGCATTTTACACTGTATGTCAGGTTAGACTAGCTTGATTCATGGCAGACTGGACATTGTTTTACAGCATAAAACTGGAAGAGAGTGATGTTCTTTTAGTGCAAACGAAGCTGAAGCTTTTAGAGTTTTTGGCAATAGGGCATGGTGAAAGTACCAAAATACCAATTAAAAAATAACAATGCATCATTATCTAACAATTCTCTAATGAGAAAGATAAAAAAAATAAAAATAAAAAGATCTTTTGAAAAAGAAGCAATGGCTTATTAAGAAAATACAGTTACAGAGACGGAGCCTCGTACCAATCTTGACAGTAGACTTGTTTGCAGTAAATAAAGCAACTAGTGAAAATCTGTCATCGGGCTAAAGTATACCTGTGGTACTCTGTATCTGTCTCTGTTTCCTAGAATAAGTAGATAAAAAATATTTTTATCTCCTTTTTGAATGAGAGATAGCGGCTTACAACTTAACACAGGAAAAAGAAAGTTAAAGCAGACAGGGAAAATTAAAAGTCATCCAAGTAAGACATATTAATTCCACAAAAACTATTTTAATATGGCAGTAAGCAATCAACATTACTTGGGAAATGTTAGAACCTTAATCTCTATCTGTGACTAAAAACTGCCACTGACGTCAGTGCTAACATAAATTGCAACTAATTGTGTGGCAAGAACTGTAGTATGTCTCATTAAACGCATTCACTGGGGTCAAAAGAATGAATAATGATATACTCAAAGCGGATGCTGGGCAGTAACAACCTTTTTGTTCATGTTTTTCTGCATACTGTTATCTTACCGGAGTGCTGGAGGGCACCTCAATAACAGAGATGTGCATCTTGCTGATGTGGGCATTCAAACTGCCCAGCTTCTTAAATGCACAGCTGCAGTCCATGCACGGGAACAGCGGCACGCCTTTAGTCTGTAAGAGAACATAAAACACAAACAAGATATTATCTATGGCTGCTGCGTGTATGTTTGTATGTATGTTGTATTTCAGAAAGAAATTATGATATTATTTCCTCCTATCGCAGTCCCAAGCAAAACAAGTTTGTTCAGCAGTGGATGTGCCTGAGTAGGGATGCAGAACCAGGAGCATTTCAGACGGATTATAGACGAAGTAGTACCAATTAAAACAAGGATCAGGATCTCCATTTCATACAGTGACTAGTTGAGATTATCATATCTTAAAGACAGATACATACTGCATTTGGTCTGTCCTCATTAAGTCATAAAAATGTGTCTGAAGAAGGGTGATCATCAGAAACTGGTAAATACCAAATAAACTGAAAACATCACGTTGCAGTTGTAAAATACGGATGCCAGACATAACCTTCATTGTTTGCTCTTGTTAGTAGTCTAGGCATGAAGGTTTTATGAAGAAGTTATATGGATATTTTTGCCTTTTGTCCTCCATAAATTTCCCAGTCAAATACAGCTCCTTGTATCTAACTCAATAACTCAAGAGTGTGTGCTTTCATTTATAGGTATAAATTATGAGTGCTTACACCCGTTGGACAGTCATTTATTATGATCTACAATAACATTATGTGGGAGTAAGGAACTGTTCTTGTGTGAATATCACTAATGTAGCGCTTCTGATTTATTATACACTAATGTAAACAACCTTTTAATTACAATTGTAACAAAAGTCAATCTTACTTATAAGTATCAGTAGTGTACAGTTCAGTTCTTTGACGACCACTGAGTCTGAAATGGGTGTTGACTTTTGGATAGATAACACTGGAGTTTGAACTTTTGGGGGACACAAACGTCCAGAACAAGTACAGGGACATTTGATTGGGTTTGGCAGAGTTTTGGAGTTTCGACTTACGTTTGGAGACTTGTAGAAATTAAGCAGCGAACAGTAAGATGCTGATGTAAGATAGGAAAGAATAGTTTGGAAAAATGAAACCACTGAGAAGACATCCATAACTGAAATACAACAAGGGGTGAGTGGAAACCAACATTTTAAGTCATGTTAAAAAAAAATAGTAAAAAAATGATAAGGCAATGCAAGAGCAAAATCCATAAAAGCAAAAATCCATACGAGCAAGTGGGACTTTTTGAGTGTGAAGCAAGCATGGGGAAGTTGATTGCTATTCCATGAGGGACAAAGCAGTGAAGTGGAAGATGAGTGTCAGTGCAGAGGGATTGTTTACAGGAAATGGAGAGAGTTTGTGAAGAAAGGTGGCTGAACTCCAGAGCCACTAGAAAGGATGCATCTGGAGTATGTTTTTGAGAGTGTGAGGGCATATAAAAGAGCACCGGTAAAGAAGGTGTTATCACCGTCATGATGATAGCTTTGTGGCAGCTGGGTTCAGAATGAATGTGCACAGGTGTAGAACATATGTGAAAGATGGCTGGACACGGGTGGAGGATCATTTCTCATGGGGACATGATGTGTGTTTTTTACTGAAGTGGTGATCATTAAGTAGGAGCAAAGGACTGTGAACGAATGGAGAAAGGTGGAATAGATGTCATCAGAAGGCAGGTGAAGAGGGAAGGTAGAGACAACAACAATGGTGAAAACATCGGGACAGAAACCAGGTCTACAGAGAAAGAAAAGGAAATTGAAGGCAGCAAATTTAGAAAGATGGTTAGGATGGGATAAAGTTTTTTTAATTTTAACTTTAGAAACATAGATTAAAAATCCAGACCCACAGTTTTGCCAGTACTAAAGCATTATTCTATTGTTAACCACATAACTCTAGTTATCACTGGTGTCAGCAGTAATGCAGCAGTTGTACTGGACCGTTGTGGTGATGAGGGAGCTCAGCCAGAATGCAAAGCTCTTGATTTACTAGCCGATCTATGTTCCAACCCTCATCTATGGCCATGAGAGAGTTTGCAGGTACAAGCGGCTAAAATGAGTTTTCTCCGTAAGGTGGCTGGGCTCAGCCTTAGAGACAGGGTGAGGATCTTGGACATCCTGGTGGGAGCTCAGAAAGGAGCCACCTGAGGTGGCGCAGGAAAAACGCAAAATGGCACTGTCCTAGCGGGAGCCTGCTCCGGGTATTACTGTCGGTTTTTAGTTGTTTTGTAGCTTGTTTTTTTTTCTATTGTTGTATTTTATTCTTTTGTATTTTATTGTAGCCTATTTAAATGTACCTGTCTGTCTGTCTGTCTGTCTGTCTGACTGATTAGGATGACTCCAGAGTGCCTTTCCAGACACATCCAGCTAGGCAGAGACCCCAGGGAACACCCAGTACTCGCTAGAGAGATTACATGTCTAATCTGCTCTGGGAAAGCCTCGGGATCCCCCAGGAGGAGTTGGAAAATGTTGCTAGGGAGAGGGAGGTGTGAATACCCCTGCTGTAACCTGCTTGTCACTGCAACCTGACCCCCGGATAAGCGGAGGAAAATGGATTGGATGGATGGATGGATGGAAATTTGAAAAGTTGAGTTAGAATGGCATATGGTTTTGTTTTGTTGTATTACTTGTATTTCAAAAACATAGAGCAAAAATCCAATTATTCTATTGTTAACCACCATAAAATTATATAAATAATATCTAAAAATGTGTGCTCACTTGGCTCAAAATAGCAAGTGCAAAAACAGCTTAAAATGTAAATTGTCTGGAAGGGAGTTCTAGCTGAAGTTCAAGCTCTTGAAGCAGTCAGTTTTCATGTTAGATCTGAAGAAGTGAAAGAGTGTTAAGTGTCTGTTCAAGAGAAATAACCAAAAGTAGATGAAATCAGTTGAAGTGTAATTGCTGAAAGCCTTTCAACAAGTTTTTTAGAAACGTAAGAATCTATTATTAAGAATCCAAACCCACACTCTTGGTACTGCTAATGCATTACTTTATTGTTAACCGCTATAAATAGCATAGTTGTGAGGGCATTGGTAGCACAATATGCATACAAATGCAACTGCACACTCAAACTTATTTGTCCATCCCTTTCTGAGATGCTGTGGTTTGAGGAAGCAGTTTGAAGCAAATGCAACTTCCATAATTTCACTTAAGTGGGGATTTTTTTGTGAGTTGTAGTTTTATAAATGTATCTACTACCTTGTCATGAAAATAAGCAAAGTTACAACCATTTGTATGTTTGACTTCTATTCTGTAGCTGATTTTGGTTTGGTTGTTTTCCTGAGCTGTAGTACCTGAAATTGAACGTTTTAGATGCAATTTTGTCTGCAGACAGTGTGATTGCCTGTACATGCTTACATCCTACACGACCAAACATTTTATTGGATTTAAGTGAGATGATTTTACCCAAGTATGAATCTGTTCATGAAATCTATTGCGAATAACCCTGACCATAATTTATTCATTAAGTCAGTCAATCATAAGGACAAACTCTATCTGGAACAGGACAGCTGAAGAACACTTGTTAAAATTGGATGCATTATTCAAATGGTCCTGCTGTTTGGCTTTCCAGAAGTAATTCAATCAACTGGCCCCATCACAAGCTTTTAGCGTGGAATACACAATCATGTCAACAAGTGAAAATTAAAATATCCACCATTCAATTCGTTCATATCTATTTTGTTAAGAGACATAGAGAAAGTATAATTTGACCAATTGAACACCTGAAAGAAAATGATCAAGTAACATTTCACTTGTGTATAGTGGGTAAAGGTGGACTGAAACACAGTAGATGGGGCAGAACTAAGCTTCAAATATGTGCTTGAAGGCATTAATACAACCCGACAGCTCATCAGAGAGAATTAAGTGTGAAGCTTTTTATTCAGACTCAATTCATTCTAAAAGAAACACCATTAAAACACCCCCACTGCAGAAACAAAAAAAGAGGCGTGTGGACATGTTTCTACAGTTGTTTCCCTGTGTTTCTTCTTCAAAAGGTATAATTAAGTCAGTAGCTTGAAACTATTTTTAACAGATATACAGACAAGGTGGAATCTCGACCACAGAGTATAGATCAGTGAAGTGTACCTTATTGCATTGGGTATATAGTCTCCATTTAGGTGCACATTGCCTAATGAATATTACCTGTATGTAGCGTTCATGCACAGTGCATCTTTGAGCAATAAAATGTACAGTATGTGAACTGTATTTTAATCATTTCTATTGATTTCTATTCTGCTTCCTAATTTGAGATGTATGTGGTTTACTTTTTCACACTGCCCATTAAATCAAACAGCTTGTGTAAAGATTAGAGATTGTGGTGAAGAGGTTCTATGCATGATAGGTGGACAGAAATTGCTAACTACATCATTAGTCCTGGCCACCATTGGTTTATTTTGTAATAGGCTTTCAAAGTATGGGACACTGCTGCCTATCAGATGTGAACATCGGTCTCCTCATACCCAGAAACCCTTGTGTATTTGGGTTGTTTCCTGTGGCACAGATTACATTCTCAAATCAAATGCAGATCTGTCAAGACATATTTGGTGCAATCCAGTTTTAAATTATATTGTTTTCACAGTAATTCCTCCCGAGGTCTTATACATTGCTTTGAACATGCTTAGCATTAAATGATACGATAACCAAGTTCTGCCCTTAATGGGTTGAATGAAGCCAATTCTCATTGCTATTCTCAGCTACTTCTCTTCAGCAGGATTCTGGGTAAAGTATTTACCTTGCCTGTCAGATTCTATGAATTTACAGCAGCCAAGCCAAGATGACAAAAAGGATGACAAATAAGGAAGAACCCCTCTGTTAATGTGGAACTTATTTACCAGAATAAGATCCTTAAGTGTAGCTTAAGTGAGCGCTGGAAAGATATAATCAATATCATTTGAAATCACCTTGGATAGGTTCAAACATTAGCCTGACTGGGGTACAGTACTTCCCCCTGTTTTAATGGGGTTTACTAAAGGGACTACAGCCATGCTAGCAAGTCTCTTAACCTGTACAAACGCAGAGTGATTCTTTGAGCTAAACGCCAATGGTGCACACTGACGATGCTAACATGCTAATGTTTAGCAGTCATGTTTACCATGTTCGTTTTCGTCATTTGCTTATTTGCATACACAGTACAGTTGAGGCTGATGGGAATGTCATTAGCTTTGCATTTAGTCATATTCCAACTATTAATATTATTTAGTCAAAGTCATGTTAGATTTTTTGTTTCTTAAAATTTCAGAAGCCTAACTGGTAGAAAGAAAAAAAAAGGTACATTCATTTCTCAGCTGGCACTGGCAGTAGTCAACAAAATTAGTGTGGAGCTTGGTGTGCAAACACAAAGCATCTTTTATACTTTAAGGCTTTGTTAGCTTTTTGATAAAATGCACAGGTACTGAGGATTGGGGCATATCCACTGATGGGGGACCCACTGCACCTCCTGTGATGGAGACCATTGTGTTGCTTTACAATCAGGCTGCCAGAGAGCTGACCCAGTCCAGACTTTAACCACATTATTGGAAGCAATCATCAACTAGGTCACTATCACTCCACCCGTTAATGGGCTTTATTAAAAAAAAAAAAACACCAAAAAGACACCCACACACGGGAGAATTCATTATCTGTCAACACGTACATTTGGGCACCTAGGGGAGGACTTTGATGTGTATAGCTCTTCTGACCTCTTAACCACAGCTTGGCACTTAGAGGAAGTGACCTGGGTGACAGAGCACCGCGAGAGACCAAAGTCCAGGCTAAATTAGGATGGATAAATCGGGAGGGCTCTTTAAAATTGGTGGCTGTGAGGTGCTTACAAAAGAGAAGAACCAGATGAGGAACAAAGAGCTGCAATTTCATCTCAATCCCTTTCCAACAAACAATATGGCAAGATGTTCTGCTGCATTGAATGTAACAAGCTGTGAACAGAAGGGATGGTAATTTAGTGCGAGTGAAAGAGGTGTACAAAAAGAAACCGAAATATCTCGGACAACAACCCAAATAAAAGAAAATGATAGTGAATTACCAAAACCTGGTAAACAGCTTATTAAGTCTTGTCTAAAGTATCTGATATTTACTCTCTGAGATGAACAGCAGTATGTGCAAGTCTGTCTTGACTGTCTTAAGGCTATGTAGTTTTTGGGTTCTTGCTCTAGTCTTGGTTGATGAAGACAGGGAGCATCTTTGCAAGCAAACAACAAACACTGGACTATTAGCACTCATTTCAATTTAAATGCACACTTTTGCTGAAGCCGTTCAGATTGAGCTCAGCCATACACAACGGAAACACTTACAGATCAGTGTGGTTTTATAAAATGTGTAGTGCTAGTTAGTTAGTGAATTAAGTGTTATGGTTTTAATTTCCATGTAAACAGAAACACACACTGCAACAATTTTGTCCAGTAGCTGAACCTCATTAGCCGTTAAATGAAAGTCACGCATTTCCTTAAACAAATCCCTTCATTCAAGTATTAAATGAGACGAGAACAGATATTTCTAGAAATTTGCCACAATAATGAAACTGCATTCATATAAACAAAGGTTTCACTTGTTTAACAGGTGCTCTTTAGCAGATGATAAAAGCTGACAGGGAAAATCCTCTCGGTTGTTATTCGACTGAAATCAAATTAGTAAGATGTATTTCTAATTGTTGATCAATTCCAAGAGGATTTTGTGAAGATCCAAGTAGTGCTGGATGTGTCTAATTTATCTTTCCATTTCAAACAGTGATGAAAATGTATAATGTGCAATCCGGAGATGTAATCTAAGGTCACTTCTATTCCCCTACTTTCAGTCCTCCACACTGCAAGAACACTGACAGTAAGCCCACTGCTTCACTTAAATTAAAACCTGCACAAAATATGGATGGAAAAATAACTGGTGAAAATTTAAACTGTTTGTTTTGGGATACCTTGTGTTAGTGCTGTGATACACACTACCTAATCAAAGTTCACTCAGTCACACAGACATATTTCCATCACTGTATCTGAGGTAGTAAATATAATATATATAGTATTAAAACCTGTAGTACTGTGCTCTTACCTCTGAATGAACTCTCTGAACGTGGGAGTGCAAGTTCCCCTTCTGGGAGAAGGAAGCAGGGCAGAACATGCAGAGGTGAGGTTTCTCTCCAGTGTGTCTCACCATGTGAGTCTGCAGCACCACCTTCTGGTTGAAAGCCTTGTTGCAGTGTGAACACTTGTAAGGCCTCTCACCTGAGGGGAAACGCACACACGGGTCAAACTGCTGCCATTAGGATGCTGGAAACACTGATGGCAATTTGACTTACCTGCAATTTCGCCAATCTCAATTAATGACTTTAATTTATTAAAAGGTAAATAGTGAAGTCTAAGGGTAAATAATGGGGGTTCTTTAAGATATCCTTGATAACTACTCTCTATTGTTAAAATCCTATTACTTCTAGTAGCCTGTAAGGCTGATTACAGCATTGGATATTTAAACCAATAAATGACTGCGACTTTGTTTAAGCAGAGACATTCACTTTTAAAAAAATGTATTGACCCCAGTGTTTGTTTTTTACTAAAACAGCTGTTTCTTTCTTATTATTTAAAAAAAAAATTACAAAAACTAAATGTGATGAAATGATAAACACTAAACGAGTGTAAATCTCATATCTTAAACATATTACATTTATATCATCATGTTTGGTTGTATCTTTGTTTTTAGCACTTTTTTACATTTAGATAAAAAAAGACACCCTGGTTGTGTCCATCTTAAGGACAAAAACAAATTACTACAAATTCCCCAAGACTGTTTTGTAGCAGTTCATCCTGCAATATCAGTGATGAAAATATCTCATTGTACCAGTGAACGCAATTCTGTCAACATGGTACCAACACAGTCCTGATTGTCAGGACATTGACTGGAGTTCATATGAGGAAACAGCTAGAGAGAGTAAGAGAATAAGGCATACCGTGTGTGTGTGTGTGTGTGTGTGTAGTCTCCCCAAGCGACTCTTCACTTCATCAGCTTAAGAGCTGTTTGAGATTCGAGGCACAGAGGAATCAACTCCATCCACCATTAGTCACCCAGCCAGCTAACCAAACAAATGAACATGTGTATGATGTGTAAACAACATGTGGGTGGAGGCTGCAGGCTATATTACCTGAACCCAGACTGGCTGAACAAGCATCCACACAACAATATTAGAATTTAAACAGCATATCGAAATTCTTCCCACATGACATTTCTGCGTGACAGCTGAGTGATGAACTGAGCTGAGCCCCTCAGAAACGGAGGGTGAGTACCGCAAACTGCTCAGGAGTTGGTGGTCATGGAATTAACCGAGGAAAAACTTAAGTTCAGAAAGACAAATGTGAGACTTCAGTTATATAATACTGCCTAGAATTAAGTGTAGGGGCCATAAAGAAAAACTGAAACCAAGAAACAAAACTGCCAACTCTCCTGTTTGTGCCACTGCTGCCCACACACCCGCACGCTCTCCTGCAGCGCCCACGACCTGCGCCAGCGGAACAGCAGGCTACCGAGCCCCCACCGAGTACAACCTGGTGCCAGTGCCCACCCACGTTAGAAAACATCAATTCAGGTTTTGTCGAACGGGCGAAACAACACCGCCCACATCATTACATTAGCTCCACGTAACCTAAACACGTCATCCCTTTTCAGTGGTTTTTTCCCCCCCACTCACCTGTGTGTATTCGTATGTGCCTAACAAGCTGGCTGGGCTTTTTGAAAGCCTTTCCACAGTGATGGCAGCTGTTTGTGAACCCACTGCGGTCAATGTTTTTCTTGTAGTTTCTGGAACTTGAATTGAGCGGCCTGTGGAAGGAGTAAACACAAAAAAATGTCAAATTGTTTTTTAGGCAAAGTAAGTTGTCTAGCACTTTTCAATAGGATCTAGAAGAAAAGAAACACGTTGCAATATAAAAGGACACATTAAAATAGGTATGTAGTTGGTTTTGCGTACCACAGAGAGTCATCTAGATGAACACAACGCTGATTATTATCATTCAGTTGCTTTGCTGCTTTTAACCCTTGCAGGATTCAATATTGTTCTGCTATTAAAAACATTTGTACTGTAGGAAAAGCCAAACTGTTCACTCAATGGGAACGGCTAACGTACCAACTCTTTCATGTTTCTTTTATTATAACGATTAAATAGCAACTGACACAGTGACAACACAAAATGTATAATTTACAGTTAGATAGAAAGAAATTAAAACATTTATGCTTCCAAAAAACATTGTTGTCACTTAATGGGAAAACCAATAATACATTCAAAAGTGGTGACTTTAAAGTACTTTCGTATGAGATTGTGCTTGATTAGTCAACGCTGTCATTGTACAATCAAAACTAACCAAAACCTCTTTTATACTATTTTTTACACTAATACACATAGCAGGGTTTTTATATGGCAGGATCTTGCACCACAACATATAGCTACATGCCTCATCTGTACACTGTGGATATATGGCACTTGATCATGTCAGTTGTTTGGGTATTGTGTGTGGACCTCACTGGAAGCCTTGCAAGTTTTACATCAAACCACAGAGTTTAGAGTTGATAAAGCGTTCAATGCACTAGTGAAATCCTCCCGTGTTCTGTTGCAAGGCTCTTTTTTTTTAACCTTGGTTCTAATGTTTAGCTTCCACTTACAGAGAGTCTGCACACAGCTTTGAGGACTGCTGCCCTTGCGTTGGCTTATTTGGGCTTTTCCTTGAGCTAATAAAAAACTGCCTGCCGTGTTCAATTCATGAGAGTGAATGCGAACGTATAAAGCTGCAACTTTCTGTTCATTGAATGCCATGGCAGACTGCGCACATAAATGATTTAAACCACTAACATTGCCAGGAAAATGATTAATTTGTGTTGAAGGGATTATACTCAAAATCTTCAGCGTCATTCTGTGAAATCTGCAATGAAACCTGCTCTTTCTCAGCTCTACAGAACTGCTCACACACCAAAAACTATTTCACAAGAGTAGTTTTTTTCTGAAAGTGTTAGTGTCTCTTGATAGTCTAACTTCTGTTTCAGATGTACTTCAGAGTCTGTATATTTTAAACCATAAATTTCCTAGAACAAGATCCTCAAGGTTGCTTTTAATAGCTGTTGGATTCATTTTTAACTTCAAGCAGTTTTCCTCCTGACTTGTTCAAACGAAATAAATCAGCTTCTACAACCCGGCCTGACCTCATTTTGACGTGACTCTTCATGTGCTCCTTGAGGTGCGCGGACGTCTTGAACTCCTTTTCGCAGGTCTTGCAGGTGTAGACCTTGATGCCCGACAGCTCTTTACGGTGCTCGTCCAAGTGCAGGGAGAGCTGGCTCTGAAGAACGAACTCATCTCCGCACTCTGCACAGATTAAATTCTGCAGGGTCGGCGCAGCAACAGTGGTAGAGGAGACAAAACAGAGGAGAACAAGTTCTTCCAATCATGTAGCAATCGCAAATCAATGATGAGTTTGACGTCTGATCGGTCGGCTGACTAACCTCCTCCTTCTCGTGCAGCATGACATGAGATTTGAGGCTGGCGATGCGGGAGAACTTTTTATTGCAGACCGGGCAAGTGAAGTCGGACGTGGTGTGTGTGGACCTGTGGAGTGTGAGGTTGAACTCCACGTTAAACGTCTGTGGGCACTGGTCACATCGATGAGGCTGAAAAGGGAAGAGAGGACAAGTTAAAGAAGGTAGTGAATAATGTAAGTGCAAACGATCTCGGACGTCTCCCCGTGCAATCCAGTGCTTGCTGCTCTTAATTCTCCCTCTTGGTGGAAACAGAAGGATTCACTGAGGTGCTACCTTAACTGACTTCAACAGCTACATTTGCTGTGAACCTTGAAAGCTGCCTCCCCACACACTCCCCCTGTTCTACTTAATAACAAGTCCCCTAGAACAATGGATGGACTTCTGCAAAGTAGCAGGTGTGTTAAAACATATTTCACTTTATCATCCAATCATAAACAATTTTTTATGTGTTTTAGGTGGCTCAGCTTCAGACGGAGGGAAAAACAGAAAGAGAGAGAAGCCACAGTGATATACAAGTACAGAATATTACCAGATTATTTGCCGCTGCAAATGGCGTCCTATTATCGTCTTTTCATGCCAGAAGAGGTGGTCAAGAGGACAGACAACATTCCTGTTCAAAGCAATGAGTGAAGAACCTAGCTCCTAAATCCTAGATCCTAACTAGGATCTCAAAAAGGGGAGAGGCTATAGATGTGTGTTTTAAACAAATGATAAACGGGGATAAGAGGGCCCACTTACACTCTGAGTGGTAACTACTCAAACACAAATTAAGAACTACAAAAACCTGCATTACTCAACAGGAATTCACGCACATTCACGACAATCATCTGCTGCTCCTTGGAGGAATAAGCCCCCCCTCCGAGTAGCCACCAAAAGCGGTAAACACATCATCATACTGTACCTTCACCCAATAGTTTAACACATGACAAAGCACGGAGTGGCTCTGAAGTTTAAAACGGATAGTAGAACCCTCTGACTCATCTGGTGACTCAGTGGGTGCTCACTGCGAAGATTCAGGTCTTCGAGTTGCTGTGGAATGTATTTTAGGATGTAGAACCACAAAATATGGGGGGAGGAAATGGAAATTCAAACAAATAGCCACTGAAACCGATTCACTAATTTTGGCCAGCAGCATAAAAAATTTGCTGTGATTCAACATCCATGGGAAGAGGGTGTAATATTTACTGTGGTATTTTCAGACGCCAGCCAGTGGGACGGGGTGGAATTAAGCAACTTTGGTCCTTCTGTAGCCCAATTTCAGTTACACTTCTGTCCGCTATAGCTGCTCCGCAACAGCACAACACAACTTGAATGACTCACAGCAAATCCGACCTTGTGTTTTATGACAATGATAATTAATCCAAATGTTATCAAAATTGCAATATGGCCACATGCAATATCCAAATTCTAGACAAACAGCATTATAATGAAGCACTGTAGTCCTGCAGAGATACCCTGGCCAGCAAATCTTGCTTCCTACATGTAAGAAAACATTAATGTTTGCGGACCCCAACAAGTGTCATCATGATTTTGAAAATTGTGATGCACAAATGATCATTCCCACTCATCCTGAATCATACAGCAACCGCAATATCTGTCACAATAATTACCTAATACATTTTTTTCCATATTGTGCAGGCCTAATTCACACATACTGTAGTTAACCTTATCGGATAAACATTTTAGGAACTACCAGAAATCTTCCACCTTGATTTGTCATTCATCCAGGAGTCCGACTATGTCACTGCAGTTCAACAATAGTTCCCACTGTTCAAAGTCCAGGAGCTGAGAACATGTTGTGCTTGTACACTCCACTGCTTTCCAGACACGGCACAAGACATGTCTTACACCGCTCAGCATCGGGTCTCATTCAGCAGCAGTTTATTCAATCCACTCAACTGAGGCTGCGCTCGTTTACATCTTCAGTATAAGCAAACACCTAGTTAATTGAAAACATAACCTCAGTTCTTGATGAAGAAAATATGGGAGAACATTCACCATGATGCTAGTAGCAGCACATTTCAGAAGCTTTGGAAGCACCTGGCACCAAATACTGTGATTGGCAGATGAAGTGGAGACTTGTGCCGAGTGCCAAATAAACAATGGCATCTACGGCAGATTTTAACTTCCACATTGTGAAAAATCATCAGGGCTGAAAAAGAAGACACTAAGACACTAGGTTGGCCCAAATCCATCCTGTGGGTGGGACACTGTCATCTGCTATGGGAGGTGGGTTACGCTCCTCACCTGAACCAAGATGTCATGTGAAGACTTTTCTCTTTTCCCACAAAGTACTGAGTTTTTGTTGCGCTTTGTAAAAGGTAATCCACAACAGGTCAACTGCCATACAGATGGAGCCTCCTGTTCCAGTAAAGGCTTGGTCACGTCTCAGTTGGCCAGCTGCACTGTGACAACTGCTCTGGTACATATCCTGTGGTTCCTGGCTTGGCATTGTATTGTAGCATCTCCCTGAACTTCTGGTTGCTAGAGGCATCAAACATGAGCTTTTTCAACCAAACTGAATGTGAAAAGGTTGAAATCTTGAAAACTGCTCTCACTGGTATTGGAAATGCCAATAAGCAATTAGTCATTGCACATTTACTTTGATAGATCTTGCCTGAAGTGTAATTACTATGTCAGAGCATAATGACAACTACACTCAAGGTGGCCTTAAACAAGGCACTTAAATCTCAACTGTTTCAGTGGAGCTGTTAAGAGGCTGATAATAATAATAATAATATTAATAATAATAAGAGAAAATAATAATAATAGTGTGATTCGACTGGGCAGCTACCAGTGACCAACAACTGGATGCAGTTATATTGGCCAGATTCAAGATCTCTATGTGTGCAGTTATAAGAATAGAAACGATTGTTGACACTTCTGTGCTGTGCTTACCTTATCGTTGATCTCATGTTCGCGGAGATGCTTCTGCAGCTGGCTCTCAGTGGTAAAGATCTGAGAGCATATTGTGCACTTCTTGTCTTTGAGCTCTCCATCACTGAAACTTTCCGCCTTAGCATCACTGGGATCCGCATCTGATCAAGTACAACAGAGGACACTTCAGTATCTTAATTTGATTTAAGAGGATTGCGATGGAAAAAGAACAGCTGAAGTAGATATGATACAGTACATCTGCTACTCGCCTTTTCAGCTACACAGCTGCTGCATTCAGTGGCTTTATGTTTAAAAAAAAAAGTGTCCAAAAGCAAGGGTTTGTGGTTATAATATTTTTATTTCCATCCTATCATATGAGTGTTCTCTGAAATTTCAAAGTAGCGGTAGATGTTGATGTGGACACACTATGACTTGCATATGAATTTATTGTTTGTTAAAGTGGGGGTTTAAATACTTAAATGAGTTCCAGACAGGTTAGTTTCACTACACATGAGAAAAAAAAGACTCAAAGAATTCATGACAATGTCTGTTCTGACACAAGTTTTAAATTTCATCACATTGAGATCCACATACTGAAAAAATTGAAGAACACCACACAGAGCGGAAGGACATGACCTGTTAATGATAAAGATCAAGCAAACAATGACAGCAACAGAGCGTGTTTTTGACAGATCAATCTACTCTTAAAAATACAGTGAAACCCCTAAAATGTTTGTTTTTTTATTCCTGATAGGGTGGAAACATTAAGTATCACGCCCACTAAAATAACAGTCCTTTATTGAATGTTATAAACATGACAGGTATGTGTCTGCCAGCAACATTACGTTTTTAATTCCGATTTGCAAATGCATTTTCTGTCTTGTGTAAAGAAAATAAAGTTCTCTTATATCATGCTTGTCTGTGAACCTGTTGGGGTGTTTTAGACATAACTTTTTACATCGGTATTCAACAGTTAGCTTCCACACGCCCATTTTGACCGTCACAGGAGAAAGCATTGCAAAGACAGTATGTGGCTGATTGATCTGAAATCAACCCACTATGAGATGTCAATACAGCACTGACGTGAGTGCCTTTTGTTTTTGCTCTCGACCTTACATCCATCCGCGGAACCGTGTGTGAACGCTGTTAAGTTATACAACTAACGTGTCATCATAACTGAGCCAACCTAAATATTATAATGCGGCGATGACACCAAAAATGCCAGCAAACTGAATGCACCCACATTACAACACATCTCAATGCTCCTTCGGGTCTTGTCAATCCGTGGCCGTGCACAACGGACCCATCAGCAGCTGGACAGCCTCGCTATAGTGCCTCGCAAAGATACAAATAACAATGGCCAACATTTTGGCGAGTTAGCCTCGAAGCTAACGGCGGCAAAGCTAGTTAGCAACAACGAGCTAACGACGAATTACTAATAAACGAAGATTAAGAGTAAAAAGCATACATTGACCAACACTAAACAATGCCGCGGTTCTCCTCCTCACAGACACCAATTTAGACTGGAAGCCAATAAGAAGAGGCACCGAGATGTTATTAATATCATTCCGCCTCAATCACTCCTTCGCCGCACAAAGCAAAGCCCACCCGCAATACTATATCCGGGGACTATATACACTACATTGAAGTGTTATTATAAAAGATACAGAGACGTTTGTCCAAATAATACCAGGTTATTTGGATAGCCCAAAATCTGCATTTTTTATTCGTTGCATTTTGGTACTTGTTACCTGTTTCGTCGCTGCTTTTAACTCTCAGTTTGCGAGGCCGGCCCCGCGGCATAGTTCCAGTACTCAGGGCGGGTGTGCTGTGAACGATTTGCTTTTCAAAATGGCGACTCGGTCATCCGTAGACAGCATCGTACCCGTGAAGACTCCCAGCTGCACGGAGTAGGGAGACATCTACCGTCTGGTTCCTTGTACATGCACCTTCAGGTACACATACAAACAACAACTTTTTTGTTTAGTACTTTTTTGTTGTTCTCAATTACTGAAAGTATAAGTTAGGAACATGTATACATATATATTAAAAATGTTTTTAGGAGAAATAATCACTGACGGTATATGGCACCTGGAGCTATTAGCTGTATATAGACCCTCAGGTGCCCTAAAGCCGAGTCTGTTTGTTTGTGATAATGCAGCACTAAAGTACATTAATAACTGATATAATAAGGCCCCAGGGGTCCACTGCATTATTATGTGCACTGTCAAACATATGTCATAATTCACACCGTGCATATTACTAAATACATTTCTGTTTAACCAGGGAATTAATAACTGTACTGTACTAAATACTGTATTTGCCCTGAAGCCCATGTATAGGCCTACAACAGCAGATAAGTGTAGGATTTAGTGACATCTAGTGGTGTAGTTGGGGGATTGCAACTCCCTCGCTTGACTCTCCCCAACAAGCGTGAAGGAGAAACTTCACCCATATCTGGTGCCAGTGTTTTCATCTTCCTCTGGGCTGCTGTAGAAACATGGCGGTTCAACAGCAGACTCTATGGAGGGCGACCTGCAGAGTCTGTAGATAT